TCACAACATATGGACGACGCTTTCTAATTTGCATATTAACAATCTTTTATATTAAACGTCTCTGACTGATCTCAAGATATGCTATTTGTTTCCGAAGACTCCATTTTTTGGAGGGACGATTCACGAATGGCCAGAGAAAACTTACTGCGTCCCAGACAGTTATTAGGGTAATCGAACGATAGTAAGGTTGGATTACTTTCTTTCCTCTGCAACCAAACGGCATTACCACCCCCCCTGAGTCTTATGTAAAAAAATTTTTACTTACCGATTTTTTATGCAAAAGAATAAAAAAAACTATAAACTGATACCTGAACAGTTCACATCCATGGTTCACGAAGATTATTCAGCCAACTGTATAAGTTTGCCATATATATAACTCAATTGACTCATGTGGTAAGGGTTAAAATTTTACACACATTTGATATGATCAATGATCACGTGTATCTATGAGTATAAATTTTTTAATATGACTCATATGAATCATTAGCTTGTAATTCCACGTAAGTAGATTTATCTACGTCTAGATGTTTTTTGTACATGTACGACATATTAATCAATAAAGAGACGCGGTTGCATCACTAAAAAAAAAAATTTCATGTAATAAGAATTTGGATAAAATGTGATCATATGATCATGTGGTAAATGTAGTTAAGTTAATTAGAAAATTTAGAATTTACGCGTTTAAATATGAAAACGTGATTATGTAATTACATTATAAGTTCAATTTTAGAAATTCATGTAAATTTGTGTAATTTCTTTGTTAGAATAGAGAGTTATCACCTTTTTTTTCTTCCTGTCATATATGCTCAAAAAGAACCTTATTCTAATTACGCTACTACCAAACTAACAAAATGATAATCGGATAGACATTTTTTGGCAATCATTTCATATATAGGATTTCAGAATGTTTACGCGTCATCTTTATTGATTTATTAACAAATGATGAAATGCAGTGTGTAATTGCTATTTAAAATCTGGGGAATGTTTTCTCCTGCAAAAATTAAAACTGCTATAAAAGTAGCTGGAAGAATTGTATTGATAAGAAGTATTAGCAAAGCTAATATAACCAATATGTCGACTTCAAAACAAAGCAGCGTATTAAGAAAAAAGGCAAAACTTCAGAATCAGTCAACCAGTCTCTTGATAATCATAGAAAGCTTACTTATAATATCATGAAAAATCTTGAAGTGATATCATTGGGGATGATAAAATTCCAGAGCTAGATCAATGTTCTCAATTCCTACTAATCAAGAATCACAATCATCCCGATCAAATGGAATTACAACCATATCCAACAAGATGAGTAAAACCTTCATCCTATCTTTGCCAATCCTACAGATGGAGGGGAATACTATTAACTAACGTTGGAGTTTGGACAATCACCCGCCAAAACTGCTTAAATCAAACATTTTGTGAAACACTGCTGTCTTATAACATAAGATTGGCAGATATATAAAAAAATGAGAATCACATGACTAAAATGATTTAGGGGCTCCAGGTATGATACAGATTTCAGAGGGTTTGACCTTATATCCTCACTATTACGTGAATTTTTATTATTAGTAGATATGTATAAAACTTATATAATAATTGGGTATTTATCATACGTAATAGGACCCCGAACAATATATATAAAGGTAGGTTTTGAGTTTGCTTAACCAACATATAAAAATTTTTCCTATGTGAGATTTATTATTGCTTATTTGATAATATAATTTTTAAATAGTCAGATATAATTATTCTTAGCAGAGTATTAAATTATTAATAGTTAGATATATATTTGTGTAGCAGTATAGAATTTTTTAATATATATATATAATATAATATATATTTACATTTTCACATTAAAAAAATCTAATAAAATATGTAAACAAAGTTATAAACATGTTTGTATAAAAAAAATTTACTATTTTTAATACAAAGAATAAGTTAATTGTATACGTAATACAGGGAACATGATCATGTAATGTGTTTTTGATAAAACAAATACGCGTCCACGTAACATTAAAATCATAAATCATATACGCATCAGGATCCCGAAATATATATGTAGAGGTCAGGTCCAGAAGTGGTCCAAAATACGCATTCTTTCAGGGCCGGAATTATGATAATTTCAGCCATTATCTAAATTAGGAAATATTATTTTGGCTGGGATTATCCATAAAAGGAATGATCTACATGATTTTTTGACTCATTATACGCAAACTCTGACCTTGACCCTTTTATGTATATTTCAGGATCCTTACACGTCCATGTAACATTTAAAAAATATATATTTAAAATGAGAGCAACAGGTGGGTGGAAAGGAAAAAATAAGTGTTTTTCTGTTTTTTATAATTTTACACTATAATTTTTGTAATAATCAATAAAAGTTATTTCATTTTTACTTAGAAAATTTTTTAAAAATATTTTTTTTAACAAATTTTACAGTAAATTTTAAAAATAAAAATTCCGCGTATTGGTGACGTTACAAAAAACATGAATAAATCCATAAATATCTATTCAATCATGATAAAATTTTATATGTAAGTAGATTCGAACCTGCTGAACAACTTTACTTAAGAAGGATTTGGATGTTTCCTTTGACTGAAGTGCCTAAATTACGCTCTGAAGTCACAGAACAGATATACGAAATATTAATAAGAAACATTTATAAGTTGTAATATTACAAAAAAATAATAATAGCTTTATCCATACATTATTTCAAAAATTTTTGTTTTTTTAGTTTTTTTTATATACATATTTTATAAAAAAAATTATATATAAATATATATATGTCATAAAATAAGTTGCTTAGCAGTGTAAAAAATTTATGGGTTAGATAAAAGTTTGCTTAGCAGATATGAAAAATATTTGCTTATTGACCTTAGTAAATTTTGAATTTTTTATCTGACCTATATATATATTGTTCGGGGTCCTTGCGTAATATCTAGGTATTTATTAAATTATTTTAAATAATAAAATCGGTAGAAAATGGAAGTTCTTTTTTGTAAAATACTGTGCATAAGAGGTACTGTGGCCCGCAAAATACAGTACATCACCAAAAATAAACTAAATTTGTACCACTTAAATATATAATAAATCTTACATTTGTGACTACATCATTAACGCCCTTTATTTTCGTGATAAATTCCAAAATAATGACTTGCATAAAAGGAAAACCTATAATAAATTCTTTTAGACTTATGAAATAATAGTATATATAATATTAAAGAATTACACAACCCCTTGTAATTTTTTTATTGTCAACAATTTATAAAAACAAAAAAAATCAAAAAAAACTAGTTTTTGGAGCATCTTAGAGGGAATAGAAGACCTAAAAAAAAATTACTGCAAGTGCATTTCATACACTCAGTCAATATGTAAGGCATGATACATCCTTTTTACAAGAACTTTAGCAAGAAAATTGAAAAATACAGGTGAAAAACTGGTGAAAAGTATAATATATAACAATTAAAAGTTATCTTTCATCAAGTATTGGTTATGTAAAAAAAACTTTCCAAAGCAACTCCTATGTTAATTGAAGCACACAAGTAAAGACATATAAAGTAGGCATAAAATAATATTATGACTAATGGGAAAAAATTTTATCTGCTAATAAATCAACCTTGCAACTTTTTAGTACTACTGCTAAATATTAGTATAAAGAGGAAAGACCTGTTTGTTATACATCTAAAAATTATATAAGAAATTATGGTATAAATAGTTGTTTGTGAAGGAAAAAGCAAGTTTATTTTGTTTCAGATAAATTATGAATATTGAGATTTATGCAGAAATTTTTTTGTACACGTATTTTTAAGATCTCTTGAATGTTTTGTGATTGTTCGTTGACATTTTCCAACAAGAAAACTACCATGCATAATAGTTATTCTTTTAAGCTTGGTCTATAAGAAAATTCATCAGAAGTTTCAGAGTGGCCATGATATATATGCTGCCCAAATTATTTTGGGATGCTATAATTATAATTTGGGATGCCGTAATTCATTCAGTTTATATGTAATTTATTATATAGTAAAGTGCCAAAATAATTTGGAATGTCATAATTGAATTAATTGAATTTAGAATTTTATTTATAATTACAGCAGCCCAAAATAATTTGGGCAACATGTATAGCATACATGAAGTATTTTGTATTGTATATAATGAGTAATTTAGTAATTAAAATCAGAAATATATTTTAATAATAATTATTGTAATTAGTAGTATTTATTAGGGATCTGCAATTTAATTTGATATTTGATATTTGATTTAACTAAATTCAAATAATGGGTTTATTTGATTTGATTTGACTTATCAAATATTTCAAATATTTGATTTGATTTGATTGATTTGAATTTAGTTACACATATGACATATTATCAATAAATGTAAATAAATAAAGATCATTATTTTTTTTAATTATTGTATCAAAAAAAATCTTTACTTTATAAACTTTAAATATATTTGTAAAAGCATCTTGCATTATAATTTCAAATATATCATTAAAAATGGTAATTTTTAAATTTATATTTATATTATTTTAAAGTAAACTATATTAATTAAATATAAATTTTTTTATTATAATTTATTATAATGTACAGATATAGAAACTTCTGAAAATCTAAATCTAGTATTTCACTAGAAAAAAGAGGGCAAGACAATAAAATTACTGCAAAATGCAATTATTGTAATGCCAAATAAATATATTGTTATTAAAAGCGCAACAACAAATCTTTGGACACATATTAAAAAAATACATGTCTCTTCTTAGTTTATCAATTACTTAACATACATTAGAACAATATAATTTATCAGTAAATAATAACAGTAAAATTTTTACAGAAGTAATTAATTAATAATTATATAATATTCAAATCCCAATTATGACTGTCTCTTATACACATCTAGATGTGTATAAGAGACAGCTTCTTAGTTTATCAATTACTTAACATACATTAGAACAATATAATTTATCAGTAAATAATAACAGTAAAATTTTTACAGAAGTAATTAATTAATAATTATATAATATTCAAATCCCAATTATGATCCTTAGTAGCTTCATGCATTAACATAAAACCTTGAGCATAGGAAATCAATTTTGAAGCATAGGATAAAGCTTGACCCAATTGTTTAACAAACAAGTCTTTATCTCCTTCAAATTTCTTATTTTTTGATTCTGGCAAGATTTTGCTTGCACAAACACATTTATCTTTTAAAGATGAAAGTGTACGAGAGTAAACAACTTCACCAATCAATGTAACTGAAACTCCAAAGTTAAATGATGATATGGCAGTCTATTTACCAGTACCTTTCTGTAATAATAAAAGAAAAATAGATTAGATATTTATTAAATAAAAATACTCTATTAAATAGATATGTACTTGATTTGCAGTATCTTTAATTTTTTCAACTAAGGGAGAACCATCATCATCTTTAAATCTCACAATATCTTTAGTAATATCAATCAAGAAGGAGTCCAATTCACCTTTGTTCCAAAATTTGAAAACATCACCAATCTTATCATGGTCAAAGCTAGAGTTCCAAACAGGTTGACCAAATTCAGGTAACCTGACAGGTTGAACTGAATTTATCAGGACAGGTTTAGCAATTACAATTCAGCATCAGTTCAGGTTATGACATCAATATAACCTGAATGACCTGTTGACCTGAAAATATGATTTTATATAATTAAAGTTGCCTGCCGAAACTCTACAGGCCATTGTCGAAATGTCGAAACTAAAACCTGTCGAAATGCCGAAATGCTGAAATAGTTTCGACATGTCGAAATTGTCGAAACCTAAAAATATTACGTTTCACGTAATAACTCGGCATCCAATGATCGTAGAAAGATGCGCCATAGCTCGTTGGAATCGTCTCATAACGACGAGTCGAATGGTAATTAGATCGTCTTTCTACGATCACTGGATGCCGAGATATTTAACGAAACGTCAAAAATCGGCATTTTGTATTTTGCGATACTGCGCCGTTTGACGTTTCACTTAATAACTCGGCATCCAATGATCGTAGAAAGATGCACCATAACTCGTTGGAATCGTCTCATAACGACGAGTCGAATTGTGGTTAAATCATCTTTTTACGATCACTGGATGCCGAGATAATAGGAGAAACGTCAAACGGCGCAGTATCGCAAAATACAAAATGCCGATTTTTGACGTTTCGTTAAATATCTCGGCATCCAGTGATCGTAAAAAGACGATCTAACCACCATTCGACTCGTCGTTATGAGACGATTCCAACGAGCTATGGTGCATCTTTCTACGATCATTGGATGCCAAGTTATTACGTGAAACGTAATATTTTTAGGGTTCGACAATTTCGACATGTCGAAACTATTTCAGCATTTCGGCAAATCAGAGAGCCAATGTCAAAATGTCGAAATAGTTTCGACAATTTCGACATGCCGAAACTCCCTAATTTCGGCAGGCAACTTTATATATAATATAAGTGATGGTATTATAACTCACTTTTTATATTGATTTTATATATAAAAGGTGAATTGCGGTATCTGAATTCACTTTTTTATATTGATTTTATATATAAAAGATGAATTGCGGTATCAGAATTCACTTTTTTATATTGATTTTATATATAAAAAGTGAATTGCAGTATCGGAATTCACTTTTTTATTTGATTTTATATAAAAAAAGTTGGTTGCGGTATTGTGATTCACCTTTTTATACGATTTTAATATAAAAAAGTGAATCGTAATATTTTCAAAAAAAAATGTTTTGCACCATTTTTTTTTTTAATATTTTAATAAAAATCCTGAAAATTTTCAGGTTTCAGTTCAGGTTAGGTCAAACAGATAACCTGATATAACCTGACCTGACCTGAAAAAAAAAATTTCAGATCAGGTTTATCAATTAACTTGACCCAACCTCACAGGTCAAAAAGTGAAAAATCAGGTATCAATCAGTCACCAATCAGTCACCAATCAGATAGCTGATTGGTAACTGATTAGTAACTGATTGGCATTTTCACCAAATACCATCACCAATCAGGCAGTTTGCTAACTTTTAATCCAGTGATCAGAAAAAAATGAAATATAGTTCATTGGAATCATCTCAACAAGACGAATCTAATGGTAGTAAAATCGCATCTCTAGGATTAATAGTTAATCAAAAATTAAATAAAATATAAATGATACATTTTTATTTTTATATTTTACTTAATTTCTCATCAAGTATTAATCCTAGAAATGTGATTTTACTACCATTAGATTCATCTTATTGAGATGATTCCAATGAGCTATATTTCATTTTTTTCTGATGTCTGGATCAACTGCCTGATTGGTGACGGTATTTGGTGAAAATGCCAATCAGTTACCAATCGGTTACCAATCAGCTACCTGATTGGTAACCGATTGGTAACTGATTGATGCCTGATTTTTCACTTTTCAACCTGTGCCTGACCCATTCAGAACTCTAGTCAAAGTAAAGTCCTTCTTTCATTAAATGATATGCTTCACAAATAAGTTGCATGTCACTATATTCAATACTATTATAGACTATTTTAACATAATGTTCAGCACCAGTTTCACCAATCCACTTATACTCAAAAAATTTTTAGTTTCTTAGTTTGCGCTTTACATATACAAAATTTTGATAAAATAATGTTTATTAAATAAGTCTTTAAATTCATCCCTTGGGAGGAATTACCAGCATATAGGATTCTTCAGAATCTAAATAATAAAGCTTCTTCAGCATAAAATTTCTGCCTAATTAGCCTTTATCCTTTCATTTTCTACAGTACATGCATTTTCATATAAGCAGTCTATATTTTATGAGTCAGACGAAATACAGTGGTCGAAAAAAGTCCTCAGAATTACAAAAAAATGCAAAAAATCCTGTAAAAAATCTGATCTGTGTTTTATCTTTCCATGTTTTTTCCGTAAATGTATCATTTTCATGGAATTTATAACCTTAAATCATGGAAATTTTCATCTCGCTAACACGGATATCCGTGAATGTATCATTTTCACAGAATTTTTACGGAAGACACAGAGAAATAATGGAAATATTCAGATAAAAATTTTTTATAGGGAAATGAGCAACCAGTGATCAGAATTGCTTCAAATTTTGCAGATTTATTACCAAATGTGTGAATATGATGCATACAAAATTTCAGCTGTTTATCTTGTTTCTTTGTCTCGCAATCGTTTTTTTAAGTTCAAAAAAATAAGTCATCAAAAATTTAACTTACAAAAAATCTGAAATTCTGATATAATATTCAAATTGAAGTTTATTAAAAATTGAACAGTTATAAATCATAGTTTATGGTATGATAATTTTAATAAAAAAAATTTGGCCCTTTATTATTTGTTAGTTGTTGAGAAAATTGGAATCAAAGTTTATCTACCACAATTGATCGCAACTGTTTTCAACCCTTAAAATCAATTGAAAGAACTAAAATTCATAATCAAAGTTACACTATAATAATTATAAAAAAATTATTGTAAGAACTATTTAATAATAGATTAATATTATTCAAATATACAAAAAAATTATCAATACAAATAATTTTAATGTACTATTTTACTATTTTAATTTTAATGACTTTAATGCTTTTGAGCCAATTTTTAATCTCACTTTACAGAAAACTGACTGATTAAACTATAATCAAATTTTTTAATAAACTAATTAGAAATATATTTTTTTACGTTTATAATTTTTTATTATAAGTATACAAGCTGATTTTTAGTAACTGAACGCAAAATGTTAATCATTTCAAGTTATCATATTGCTTAAATTTTTAATGATTTTTTTTTGAACTTAAAAAACCGATTGTGAGACAAGAAAACAAGATAAATGGCTGAAATTTTGTATGCATAATATTCACACATTTGGCAATAAATCTGTAAAATTTGAAGCAATTCTGATCACTGATTGCTTAATTTTTGCATTTTTTGTAATTCTGAGGACTTTTTTCGACCACTGTAAGTTTATAAATTCAAAAAGACAGATAATATTTTCTTAAATCTTGCTAATTAGATTGGAAAAGTTTTTTGTTAAATCTGTTCGATGAATCACATTTTGGGATAAAATTTATATTTGTGATTGTAAAAATATTACTCAATCTACTTTAATATTGTAATATATTAAAAATTAAAGAATATATATTAAAATACTATTTAGAATACTATGTAGTAATGCTTATTTTAAAGAATCAGGATGTAAAAAATGCAATTTACATAAACAAATCACATATAAGTACGCATAAAGCTCCACCCAGCTTATGAGCTGGCTCGAACTTTTCAATCTGAGTTAAACTGAACTACGATTAAATTGGCTCAATGGCTCATGAGCCAGCTTGAAAAGAACTCGAGCTGGTAATAGGCTTGACTCAAAAAGCTCAAGCCAGTAATAGACTCAGCTCAAAAAGCTCGAACTGGCTTGAATAGGATCTCAGACATCTCTTATAGAACTCACAACTGACTTTTTACCAAAAAAAATCCAATTTGCTCTTTTTTTATTTTCTGTTTTTTTTTGTGATTATCTCGGTATCCAGTAATCTGATTCATGCGGATTTTTTTTATTTTGTAAAGCTCGATAAGAGCTACAAAACAAAAAAAAGTTGATACAAATTGAACCACTGGATGCTAAGATAATTGCAAAAAACTGATTTTTTTTGTAAAATTTAGGTCAATCTGCGAAAAAGTTGCCACTGAGTTGTACAGTCGACTCTGGTTATAACGAACCTGTTTGTACCGAAACCTCGCTATACTGAATTATAATTTCCAGAACTGATTTTTTATAAATAATTTCACTGGATATAACGAACTTTTATAATAAAACACTATATAACGCATTCGAACCAAACTTAACCAGCCCCTATATATCAGCTATATAATAACTTTATACTTTCTATAATGAACGGTCATGTGACTATATAGTAGTCCAGGCCAATTTTATAGTGCTGGCCAGAATTACTAGTAATTTTTTTGAAAATTTATGTTAAAAGAAATTATAATTTTGGCCAGCATTACAAATTTGGCTTAAATTACCTATAAAGAAAACTAGTTCGGTATATTATATAACAAATTCACTATATACTGAACTAAACCTCTTGGAATGGAGAGTTCGTTATATCCAGAGTTGACTGTATATATAATATCCAGGGTCCTGCTTGAATTATCATATAAAAAATGGTGCGAAAACATTTTTTATATAATATTATATTAAAAAAAACGTTTCAAACTGTTTTTTTTAATTTTTTAATAAAAAACGTTTTTTGTATAATTTTTTAATAAAAAACGTTTTTTGTATAATATTATATTAAAAAAACGTTTTGCAACATTTTTTTAATTTTTTAATAAAAAATATTGCAAAAACATTTTTTTCACAATATTATATTAGAAAAAAATATTTCGCAATGTTTTTTTTAATTTTTTAGTGAAAAAATGTTGTGAAAATGTTTTTTTCACTATATTATATTAGAAAAAACATTTTGCAACGTTTATTTCAATACTTCAATAAAAAATGTTACAAAACATTTTTCTGAAGATAAAGCTTGAGCCTGGCTTAGCTCAAGCTATAATTTTTATAGCTCAAGTCGACTTACTTTAGCTTAAACTGAAATTTTTATGGTTTTGCTTATTCTGACTCAGGCCAGAATTTTTTTTTGAGCTGAGCCAGGACCCCGAACAATATATATATAGGTCAGATAAAAAATTCAAAATTTACTAAGGTCAATAAGTAAATATTTATCATGTCTGCTAAGTAAACTTTTATCTAACCCATAAATTTTTTACACTGCTAAGCAATTTATTTTATGACATATATATATTTTTATATAATTTTTTTATAAAATATGTATATAAAAAAAACTAAAAAAACAAAAATTTTTGAAATAATGTATGGATAAAGCTATTATTATTTTTTTGTAATATTACAATTTATAAATGTTTCTTATTAATATTTTGTATATCTGTTCTGTGACTTCAGAGCGTAATTTAGGCACTTCAGTCAAAGGAAATATCCAAATCCTTCTTAAGTAAAGTTGTTCAGCAGGTTCGAATCTACTTACATATAAATTTTGATCATGATTGAATAGATATTCATGGATTTATTCATGTTTTTTGTAATGCTACCAATACGTGGAATTTTTATTTTTAAAATTTACTGTAAAATTTGTCAAAAAAAATATTTTTAAAAAATTTTCTAAGTAAAAATGAAATAACTTTTATTGATTATTATAAAAATTATAGTGTAAAATTATAAAAAAACAGAAAACCACTTATTTTTCCTTTCCCATCTACCCGTTGCTCTCATTTTTAATATATATTTTTTTACTATTACACAGACGCGTATATGATTTATAATTTTAATGTTATGCGAACGTGTATTTGTTTTATCAAAACCACGTTACACAATCACGTCTAAAAATGGTTCCTGTATTACATATAACTATTAAAAATAGTAAATTTTTTTTACACAAACATGTTTATAATTTTGTTTACATATTTTATTAGATTTTTTTAATGTGAAAAATGTAAATATATATTATATTATATATATATATTAAAAAAATCTATTCTGCTACGCAAATATATATCTGACTATTAATAATTTAATACTCTGCTACGCATAATTATATCTGACTATTTAAAAATTATGTTATCAAATAAGCAATAATAAATCTCATATAGGAAAAATTTTTATATGTTGGTTAAGCAAACTCAAAACCTACCTTTATATATATTGTTCGGAGTCCTATTGAGCCGAGCCAGACTGTGGCTCGACTCAAGTAAGGTTGCTGAAGAAACTAGGGGTTTTAGCAAATTGGCGAAATGCTGAAATGGTGAAACTTTGCTAAAACTATATAAAAGTTTTATTAAAAAATTAGCAAAACTCTGGAGAAAAGCGAAACCTGACAAAACTTATTATAAATGCTGAAACTGCCAAAATCTTGCCGAAACTATAATAAAATTATAGTAAAATTTTAGAGAAACTAATCGTAGAATTCTGGAGAAGTTTAGGCAGGCAATCTTAGGTTCAAACCGGTTTATATGGAACTTTAAGCACGCATAGTTAATTACATCAACTGAAAATCCATTTTGCATTATCTAAAATTTCATTGATGGGCACAATAGCACATGATCCATAATTTTTATTACGCCCATGTAAAATCCTCCATAGTATACTATTTTCATCAAAAACAGGAAATCCTAAATTTTCTTTTGCATCTATGTATAACAAATTAATTATAAGCAGATTGTTTTCGATGAATATAACTGGAAAAATGATACTACTTACTAAAAGCATTACTGTATTCATCTAACACTAATATAGCCTTGATAAAATTGAACGGTAAAAAATTAGTGAGGATATACAAATAATTTCTTACTAATCCTTTAGTGTGCCTGTCATTCTTCTGATCTTCTGAATAGGTACTCTGAGGACTAATCCAACTTATGACCGCACCTATTTTTAAAAAAAACATTGGATCAATATCCTACTTTATATAAGGAATTTAGTAGTGAAAATTTTGATTATTATGAAATTACTGATGAAAAATTATGCCCATTATGCAAGTTAGATCATGGCAATGAAGAAAGCATAAAAGGCAGATATAAAACCGGATCCTATTTTATTAAATATGAACGGTGTGAACTTGAGATAACTGCATAGTTTCATTATTTTACAACATTATATTTGCTCATGCTTCATTGTGATATTTTTTACAGGACTAATTCATATCAACTATTACCTAATTTAAATTAATTCGCAATCATAGAAAAAAATTAACATGTCCAAGTCTGATAAAATATTAACCCTGAATATCTGGATCGGCATACCAAATTAACTGATTTACCAAGTGTTTTGACAGATAGGATTCGATCCAGCTTATACAAAAAAATATAAAAAAGAAACTGGATATAAGCCATGACAATTATCAAAAGCCCGCCTTCTCATAAATTTGAAGCCAGAAAACAAAGTATCCTATTTATCTTTTTCTGAACAATGTGAAGAAAAAGGGCCTATCACTTTCGAAGCCAGACACAATTCAGAATTAATTATCAAATCCGTTTTAGAGCACTTCCCATACTTGAAATTTGGAAATAGTTTCAGAGGAATTGATAATTATGATTTTACATCACCTTAGCCATGGAGTTTACCATGCCCTATTTGTGATGGAAAACATGGAAATTATGGATTATATGGCTCATTAGGATGTGTGGTCAATTAATCAAATCAAAACTATATATGGTACTATATAAAAATTTATTATCGAAGATTTTTTGCATACAAAATTTTCAGTTATATACACTTATATTATATTAACAATTTAACAATTATTTTATTATAATTATTCAATAAACTGTTTAAAAAGCGTTGATTATTTTTGCTTGTAGTTAAATTAAGAGATTGGCTCTGTATAACGTTTAAAATAATTTCAAGTTGATTCTGATCCATCTCAGCCAAACATTTATTTATTTCATTAATTATTTTATCTCTCTGACTCTTTTTTTGCTTTTCTAATCGAATTTTGTTGCAATTCTTCAATTGAAAATGATGTTTATATGACTTATATATACTCATTGCTATTTTCCAAACTTTAATTAGATGCACAGCTCTAACGGCTCAATATATATTAAGGCAAAATTTTGTAAAAATCAATATTAAAGCTATACAAATAAAGTTACGAGACTATTCCTTACATTTAATATGAAAAAACTTACATCTGATATAATTGTTTGGAAAATTTTTTCAGTTTTAAGATTTAAATTGGTATCTACTTTTAACTGGCTGGTTGATGTAAATAAAAATGTTGTAACTTTATAGCTGTGGTATGGAAAAACTGATTTATATTTAAAAAATTTGGAGAAAGAAAGAAATTCGAACTGGGCATCTAAAAAAAATAGATTATTTTTTTATATTTAATTTATATATAGTATTATAAAGTTATAATGTCAATCAAATTTTTGCCAAAAATCATTCACTAGTTGAAAATCAGTGTGACTATATATAGTTTTGATTTAATCAGTTAATCGCACACCCTAATGGCTCATAGTACTGCGAAAATGGGAATCAGTTCCTTTATGATCCTGAATTAATGAAGTTGCTATCTCAAGATAAGTTGAAATATTGTCTTACCTGCAATACTTCAAGCAATAAACTCAAGTTCACGATTATAGCTTAGACCAGAGGAATTATGAAGAAAAAATATTCGTATATTATTTTGTTTCTTTTTTTCGAATCTCATGGATGGCTTATGCAAAAGAAACTGGAATCAGATGCGCAGTTGATATTGGGAAAATTCTTGCTGAGATTTTTCTGAGTACGTTATTAAAATTAAAGTTTATCATATGATTAACTGGTAGATCTCGCTTCTATTGGTTGGAAGTGTAAAGAGTCTTCACGATTATCATATGACATAACATGTATCATGGATACGTCTCCTTTGCCTCAAGCTAGAATAGAGAAATATCGGTCAAAAAAATAATTGTGTATAATAGTCTACAATCATAGAATAGCATTATATATCCAGGGCTAGTCTCGCACTATGTAATTTATTTTAGCTTAATGTATTGCAAATAAAAAACGTTTAGGATTATCGACGAAAATACAAGGACTTTTTAAGGTTGCTTGTCTAAACCTCTTCAAAATCCTATGATTAGTTTCGTCAAAATTTTACTATAGATTTATTATAGTTTCGGCAGAGTTTTGGCAGTTTCGGCATTTATAATAAGTTTCAGCAGTTTTGCCTTTCTCCAAAGTTTCGCCAGTTTTTTAATATTACTTTAATATAGTTTTAGCAGAATTTTGCTTTTCGGTGAAACGCCATTTTGCCTAAACCTTTAGGTTTCGGCAAGCAACCTTAGGACTTTTATTCATAAACTTTCTCAAAATTATTACGTATATTATTGTAAAAGGACCCCTTAATGATCTTTACATATGGATAGCGTTAAATTCTTTTATTGTTATATTAAGGAGAGTCTGTTGATCAGATTTTCAGGATGCGATCATATTAACGTAATTTTCCTCTAAAAGCGTATAATAAAATTGATCTTAGGAATTATATAAAAAGGTGATGTCCCGGTTAGTGAATCCTTTTATCCATCTTGTGCAAGTAAAATGAAAAAATCAAGCGAAATAATCAAACTTATTATTATTTACATCATCAATATCATTAATCAAACTAATAAGCAAAGCAATAAAAAGTATGTCTGATTTTTGTTCGGCTAGCTTCTTGAAACATGTCATCACAATATTAATCAATTTTCTCGCCTCTATAGATGTTCCAAAATAAAACTCTTTTTGTTATATATCAGCATTTAGTTTAGGCGCAGTGAAATTAATCTCATCACATGCAATGGCACAGCAAAAGTCTGGCAGTGCATCAAACGTTCAAACTGGATAAGCATCTTTACGTGCCAAATTCTTGAAACTTTGCGCAGTATCATACTGCAGAAAAATAAATTTCATAAATTTCTTATGTATGAGGCAGAATGGAATTATGTGAAAATGAATCATGATGGTAAGTGTAAATCGTTATTTTTTTTTTAACTCAGTTGCTAATACTCCCGTAATTATACTATATGTTCGAAATTTCTTAATCTCTTTCGAAGAATAATATTTTATATAGTCTGTGTGTTTGGGAGAGATGGACACAAAAATTCTGTATAGTAAAAGTGTGATTTATAGATCAAGAGATAGAAGATCCCTGGCTTATCTGAAAGAAAAAAAACTAAATCATTTGAGCATTGCTATTTATTTATTAAAATATCGGAGATCTACGGATCTGATTGTGACAAATAATCTATTTTTATACTATACTTTTCTCATATTAGTCATATATATGGTGAGGGCCATTACACAATTTCCATTTTTAGTAGTTATTTAAATTATGTTATAATTTTAGATTTCCTGAAATAGATAATGACAAGGAGGAGAGTCTCAAAAACTAAATAACGTCATTTCTGGTCTCCCTCCCCTATATATATACTACATGTATTTGAAAAAAAATCAAAAGAAAAAAATGTCGAGTAAGTTAATTAATATATATACTACATGTATTTGAAAAAAAATCAAAAGAAAAAAATGTCGAGTAAGTTAATTACGTCACATTCTGGTTATTCTTAGAGTTCCAATCCGTCATCCGACGGATGATCAATCTCTTCTCATTTATTTTTGGAAAGAGACATTTATGTTTCATAATTTATAATTTAGGGATGTATAATTAATTGAACATAAAATAAATGGGGTGAAATCTTAGTCGGATTGAAATTTTCATCCGTCGGATGATATTTTAATCCGTTCCTAATTTCTCCTCACTTTCATTTTTGAAAAAAAAGTTTATTTATTAAATTATATACTGTATTATGCTCTTAGGATATCCTTAAAAAAAAATGCTCTTTTATATTAATTAAATGAGCGTACAACTGTCAAAATGTGATTATCCGTCGGATGACGGATTGGAACTCTAGTTATTCTAAATATGGTAATATCCGCAGTTGATAAGATGACCGATAAAAGAAAATTTTGTTCAAGTTCCTTAAACAAACGTTCAAATTCATGTCCAAACTTCATAATAAAAATGTGGATCTATCCTGAGGGTGCACCGAGAGCTATTAAATTGAAAGCCGACGTATCTTTGGTCGAGGACTTAGACGATTTAGCTGGTGTTCTCACGCAAGAGATTAATGTGTTAAGAAATCTCGACCCACAACAATTTGTATTCTTAGATAATGAAAATCGTCGTCTTGCTTCAGGCACTGACATAACACTTATTCGTACTACGGATAAAGTTCCACTTATCGTTCGGTATCAGCTCTCAGATCGCCGAAGTAAGTGAGATCTTTATTTCTTGGCTTTGTTTCCCACTTCAAAAGAAGTACTTATTAATTTTCTGTCAAATACAGTTTCTGTAGATTTCAGATATTCACGTAAATCAGGCAGTTGTAAAATACCGCATTCCAGTGGTTCCTTTAGTCTACTGAAAGAAGAAGTTATGAAACAGTTCAATGATTTACAGGAATACGATATCTATTTTTTACATGAGATGTCAAGTACAAATATTCGAGACACATTTAATTTTAACTATTTGATAATTAATGATGCCCAATTAAAGAGCAATGAATATCAACTTAGATTAAAAGTCATGATCGAAGGTAAAAAATCATTCAGTGAATGGGAACTTAACGAAGTGCTTGCAAAAGTATTAGGAAATAAATATCTCGCTGTTAATCAGATGCCAGTCCTTGACCTTCAAAGACTTCCCGTAGCGACACTTAGTAATAAAAATTTAAAAGATTTTTCTAAGGAACTTCAGAGAGTCTTTCGTACATACCGGAAAGAAACCAATACTAATGAGCAAGTTTGTCGCGAATATATTTTTTTATTCTTGAGATTCGCGGTTCATTATGCAATACTTAACATAAATAATGCAATATATATTACCAATGAATGGGTTCTTAAAGGGACTCGTGGAAATGGTCCTGTTGACTATATTATATTTGCTGACGCTATGATAGTGCTGATATGTGAAGCGAAGGCTGACAATATGGAGAAGGGATTAGCACAGCTCCTTGTGCAATTACACAGCGCAGTAGAAAATTTTGCGACAACAGGACCAAATCCAAAGATGTACGGAATCGTTACAACTGGAACATCTTGGCGATTTGTTTGTTGGACCGGATCATTAGAAGATCCAACAATATATCTCTCTCAACAATTTAGTTGCAACTTTCAAGGTGATTTGCGAACCGAAACCAACATATTATCATTTATTGCTAGGATATTACGAGACCAATGTGAACCTGTTCATGACTGAGTGTTTGTATCATGTATTTTTCATTTTGTATTTCTGCAAGAGAAAGTTGTAATGGCTTAGTCTAGTTATTCAAGAAAATCAATAAAGTTTGCAATTTTTCTAACATGTATGTGGGTGTGATGTGTGCATCGGAATAATAAAAAGTTTATTGTAACCTCGATAAATGCGCTAGTACTATGGGGTAATTTCATGTATCGTTCATTGAGCTGTGGTATCTAACAAAAATCCATTTTGTCGTTTCTATCTGATAAACCCGCTTTCTCATATATACTCGAAGCAATAATATATATTAATAAAATATTGGAGAGGAAACTTTCGGACAAGATTTGTATAATTAAGGTAAGATTATTTTTTGGTTGTAGACGAATTTGTCCAGAACATCGATTATTGGAGGCGAAAGCAGATTATGCAAAACTAATGGTGTTAGGCATTAGTATAGAAGCACACTTTACTTTGTAAAAAAATTTTACATATCGTAATTTATTTACTGCGCCAAATTTTACTCAAGTGTGACCGCCATGGTCAAATTTTTCCGATTTTGGTGAATATCAATTTTTAACCTCTAAAGAATCCCAAGGAAGACGCTCACCCTTTAGACATGGTTTTATTTTGATGGCTACTATGACCGCCTGGTCACACTTGCCGAAGTTTTTCCATGTTTTAACATTATCTAGACATGTGTGCTTATCATTTCCACAAATAAACGCATTTTTTTACTTAGCCGGCCGACCCTTTCTCACGTATTACTTTACAAAATATAATAAATATTTTACTTTGAAGTGTTGTGTGCTCTACAAGTGATATTAATATTTATTAATTTTTATTAATTACATTTCTATTAACATAGCTATAGTTGTAAAAAAAACAGCTGGATCATTAAGAATGCTATTCTACAGTTGCTAAGTGCTTTACATTACTAATAAAAAACACCCTATTCATCTTTTTCTAAACTCTTTCCTTTGGCACCGTAATTAATGGTAACAGTAATTACATTCGCGTTTTGAGAAAATGAGGGGAGCGTGGAAGTAACAGGTCTAGAAGATGCAGGTGTTACCGGTCTTGACACTGGAGGTGAGTCTTCGAATAACTGATGATTTCTCAGATCTAGAGGTTGTTGAGTGTGATAATGATCTCACCCTGCTTGTTCTCTGAATGCTTGCTTGATCAAATGGTAATTCTGGCAAATAAAAACAGATATGTTATTAATAATAAAAAACCCTCTCAAAAATTTTTCTCTGTAAATATACCTGGCTTTAGCCAGAATTTGGTAGAGAATTCCTTATAAATTCCTTCCCAACTAAGCTCCTTGTTTCCAGTACCTTTTTTATATTTATCTGTCATCTAAAAAAAATAAGTATATTAACCAGACAGATCTTCATAGAATACAAGCAATTGCAAAGCAATTAGCCAACACTACTTACATAAAAAGCTTTCATAAGACTTAAGAATTTTTTATAACACCCTTCACTGGTGAAAAAATTGGTATTTTCTTCAGCTATATCATTTCAAAAGAGATATTTCTTCTTATTTATGGTAGCATGGTATTCAAAATTCCTTTGTTTTCGTTTGTCAATAAGAATGTGAAGTTGGGTATCAGGGTATCAGAGAATTCCATAGTTGATTTTTTTACATGGTGAGGAAATTCTCTAAAAGTCTGTTTTATAAAATAATATCGAGTGATGTGTTAGGATCATTGCAAAACAAATTAATTGATCAATATAATGATTAATCAATAATAACAGTGGCTTAGCTATCATGTCAATAGATCAAGAGTGGTGAAATCTGATTGGTCGATCATCTCGTGATTTAGCTGAAAGCACTATATATAGAAACTCACCAGTTTCTGGAATCCTCCTAGAACTATCAAGAAACTAGCAGGTGATACATGTGATATGCATCATGCCACAAACCAATTTAGCCAGGCATTATGCATGTAAGTATAAAATTAGCTTAGCCTGAGATATGATCCTATATACCATATATCGCGAGCTATAGTATCCTCCTATGCATAGTACCCCCTTGAAAAATTTCATAGAATTGTATAGTACCTGGGGGGATATTTTACAATTATCTCGTGATCTGGTGATCAGATTTGAGCCATCTTTTTTTTTGTTTGATAGCTCTCATTAAGCTCTTCAAAATAAAAAAAGATCATTCAAATTGGACTGGTAGATCGTGAGATATTTGCAAAAAACAGAATTTTTAGGCTTTGTTTAGTACCTGAGGGTACAGGGTCAAACCCCCGATTTTTGCAAGATACCTGGGTACTGTAGTCTGCTATATACGGTAAATCCTAATATGCTTGTAATCAAATAAAAATGAATCTGATATTTTATTATAATATAGTTATTACAAACTGTTATAAATCACTATAAATTGATAAAAAAAACAGTAAAATTGCTATAAATCTCCTAACCAGTTAAATCTGTATAAATTTGAATGGTGATATTGTCTAGTATATATAGGTTAATAAAGAATCAATATAATATATTAAAATTGCTAAAAATATTATAAATCAATAAAATCATTATATTCTGTTATAATCTAGCAAAACGCTAATATGGATTTAGATAGTAGAATCTATTTTAAGCTATATCATGTAAGCTATGGTAATGAAAACTTTGAAAAATATAGAAGAATAGTTGATGCAATATGGTCTTTAACAAAAATATGTGATCATGAAATACCAGAAATGTAATGCTCTCGCATTTGTGATTCATTTAGAAAAATTTTAAAAAAGAACCTAAAAACCCTTTCTGGGAATAGATATATTACAATGTATAGAAAATTAATTGAAAGAAGTAATAGAATCCATAGTCTTCCATCCAATTATATATATTGTAGTACAGTCGCCACTGGTTATAACGAACCGGTTTGTACCGAAAACTTGTTGTATTGAACCAAGTTTCACAGAACCGATTTTTTTATAATTAATTGCACTGGATATAACGAAATCACATAATAAATTACTATATACCGCATC